AATCATTACATCTGAAAAAAAGAATCAAAACAATGTTGATCTCAAAAGGTTAATATTGTATATTTTTATTCTACGATGAATTTATACTACTGTGTACAGACGTAGACAAAGTGTGTCGCAATATCATTTTATTACTTCTCATTAGAAGCTTCAGAGCTTCTATGATAAGTTGATTAATATTCTGAAAAGATTTCTGATAAAAACAAGAAAAATAAGAAAAGTAGAGTTTGTATCAGGCGACGTTAATTTTCACTAGGCGTCACCAATGCCGTCCTTGTAGCCCGTAAGCCGGTCACTCGTTCGTGTCGGAATTTATTCAAAACGGTCGATAAATCGTCGACACTGCTGCCGTGATACCCGGGCAAATTCAATTTCTCCCAACCCCCACGGGGCATCCACGAAATTTCAGACCGGTTGACGCACGCCGGACAATTGTCTTCCAGGAAAAGGGGATACGGTCGGATATGTCCCGAGTGAAAATACCTGCACGCCCGACAGATAGGCAGGCCCGGGTAGACGTCCGGTGTTTTTGCCTGTTTAGCCCCATCCCGTGAATCTACAGAATTCTTTAGAATTTCGTCTGTTCCTGGTTCGGCCGTAAACGCGACGCCACTTCATAGTGACTTCTCTTCTTTGACCGTTTACCTGGTGATACGGTGTCTATTTCCTTACTTCTAATAAACCTGTAATAATTTTTTAAATTGCATTGGTTGACTGCGGGAAAAACATTCTCACTAGCTTAATAATGCTTAAACTTGTACGTGACTACAAAGTTACATGGCGTTACAGGGGGTTAGCGTAGTTTTTAATATAAATACGAATAATATAACTAATAATAGAGAATTCGTGAGTCTAACAAGGGAAAAGTAAAGAAATATCAACAGATATGCCTCTGGAATTGTAATAAGTCACAAAGATGGTATATAAATTCTTTTGCAACAGGTGCAGTTTTTAACATTAATGGCTACTTAACTCGCCTTGTCGAATGAACAATCATTTCCAAATGACGAGTTAACTCTTCTTTACCGGTTAATGGATTAAATATTCGACGTAAAGAATTGGTACAAATAAGAGGTTTTATGTAAAGAATTATAAAAAAAAAGATAATAATTATAAAATAAACTACATTGAATGAAAATTATCTACTAGACAAGTGTTGTGGCTAGTAATCGCACAGTTCGAGTAGCCAGCGGATAATTAAAAACGATTTATTTTTTATAAACAAAGATAGAAATGCCGTAGGCACGCATCGCGAATGTGTCACGGAAAATAGACGACTCTGACGCGGCAGGTAGAAAACTGTCATGTTTGGGTTCGTTGCGATACCCTGCGGTCATTTTAACTCTCCCGTTCCTATGGATGAATCAGCTATGACTCCATGATGGACATGGTCATTGAACTGCTTTTGCAGTGGCAAAGCAAATATTGTTCTACATGTATACATATCCGATCCTGTTATAAGTCAGGATTTACCCAACGATCGAAGTTAGGGTTACAAATGTATTTCATTTCAATGACAGGGCAATTTAGCTTTTGCCAGAAAAACGATCAAAGGTTATAGAAATTAGGCGAACTGTTTCGAGTAAGAGACGTCTGAAAACATCATTCTTCATTTTCATGCTGCAATAAACCTTGTCAATGTTCTGAGAGAGTGCACTGACATAACATTATTAACCAATAATTTTGGCTGGTTTAGTAGTTCTAGTGTCAAACTTCAGAATTTATCTTGTCAAACTTGTAGAGTGTCCCACTGATCCCTGCAATGATAAAAAATGGTCCAACAAGGATCCCATAGACGAGAAGTGAAAACGGATAACACAGTATCCTACTGACGACAAGATTATTGTATCCTCAATACTATCATCAAGCAGAAAATCACTGTTCCTGTTCCCAAGCATCTTGCATAGCTTCGCTCCGCGAAACGCAAAGTCTTGCGAACTTCGAACGTGTCCCGTCATTTAGCCCCGCCGCGTATTTCAGTGCCGTGCACGAGACTCGTCGTCGTCGTTTCCCTCTTCGTTCACCGTCTTTCTCCGTCTCGTCTCCTAAAGCTCCCAGTCCCTTGTTCTTCCTCATTCCCGCGGCGAGGCTGCGGGCGTCGAGAAGGAGGACGAGGAGGAGCAAGAGGAGGACGGGCGACAGCGATTCTCGTGCCAAGAGCTACTCGGTCCGGGCCAAACGCAACTTGGCTCGGGCACAATCGAGTGAAAGTCGACCGGGGGTGGAAACGCTTAACTCGAGTCGAGTGAAAGTCGACTGGGAAGAAAATAAGGACAAATTGAGTGAGGAGGCGAAGAGGGGGTGGGTCGTCTCGTTGAAAAAACGCTCGTTCGCGTTTCGGTGCACGAGGGTGTGGGTGACTGTGGGGCTGGGTGGTACAGGGGGTGAATTTACGGTGACTGAGTGGTGATCCTATCCGGGGGATGAAAGTTACTACGCGCTCGGGTCGGATTACAAGGTAAATGTTTGCGCTGCAGGTGGCACAAGTTACGAGAATGAAGGATAATAGGTAGGAATCGGCTCGACTCCGTTCAGAATTGTCAATACTAGCTCGCTAGCTCGTCGTCGTTGGCTGACGTTCCCAGTTTTCTTTTACCTACCGTGTAACCGCGAGTTCGTTGAATAATGGCTGACGTTCCTCCCCGGAAAGTTAATACGCGCGCGCGCCCTTGTACGTTTGCCAATTAGCGAAAAGATTGAAACTTGCAATAACGACGCGCAACCAGAGTCGCGAACAATCCTTTAATAATACCCGCGGCCGCTATACAATTTCCGTGTGAATCGAAACAATCATTATTGTCCGCGACGCGACGCGAACTGAGGACAGGAGCTCGACCACCGTCCACCAACCGCCTATTGTCCCCCGCGGATCGGAGAAATTTCCATAACGATTAATACGGGGCGAGCGTTACAGCGACGTCGGCGTCGTTTAGCGCGATTTAGAAAACTCGCCCGGTCTAATTTCGTTGGTGTAAGCATTGGTTGCGAGGAGGGGGTGGGTTGCGAAGGGATGGCTCGTTTCGATAGGACGCGACTCCTGCGTGACGTAAATTTCATTTAAACAAAGCGAACGAGAGAATCGGACGACGCGCTCATCGGAGCCCACTAATCGCTTCCGGAGATAATTGTATCATTCCGCTAATAACTGGCGCGCATCGGCGGCACCGTCGATCGGAAATGTAATTACATCGTCGATAACGCGGGCTTCTCTGTTTGGTTTCGCGCCCCTCCCTCCCACCCCCGCGAATCGGCCAACCGGATGACATTAACGAAGACATCTGCACCGCGATTTGTTTGGCGCGAAATGAGCAATTTTATTAAAGTTCGTTTCGCGTAGATTTTTTGTTTCTTTTCAACGACGTTGAAAAACTCGCCTTAGCCTTTAACCCATTTGCGACAGATAATAGTTTGCTAAAATGTATGCTGTGTGATCGTTCTCTGAATGCAAAGGTCAAAGAAAGTATTATACAAATAAACATTTGGAATTTAATACTTATTAAATTGCTGTGTAAGACCAATGTTAGGATATAGAAATTCTTGACATCTCTATGTTCTCGGAACATCCCTCTTGTAACCAGTTCCAATAACCAGAACCAGTCGCTTCCTTTCATTCTTTTAATCGACATAAATTCTTGTTACCATGCCACATGATATATTCTAACCGGGCATTCCTAGATTTCATTTGTTGCCTTCCGCCCGGCCACGGTTACACTAGGAATCGGTTAACTACAAATTCGATATTCGCCGGAATATTGCCGCGGAAATACGGGAGGAAATTTATATCCTCGGTTTTCTTTAGTGGCCTTATTGCTAGCCGATGCCGTCAACGGTCCCGGAAAGCGATTTATCGCGCGATTTCCGGTGGCCGGGCTCGCCCGTCGTGGAACAACTATATTGGTTCTGAGAAGGTTATTTCGCGACGTTCGCGACCGGTCGGACCGTCGTTTTGGTCGAATTAAGCGTTATGTTCCCTGGGATTATTGCATTCCGACGTAGATCACCGTAAAGTGCAGAGCAGACTGAGTTGCAATTAATTCAATTACACCGAACACCCGTGTAATTATTCACAAGCTGTTTGCTGTGCGACAATCAAATATTCTTCGTGTAAAGGAAATCAGTGTTAAAGAGGGGGCAAACGTTATTTTTGACGACGTGTTTGTTGAATTGAATGTAGAACGTGGTGAAATTTGAATTGGATTTGGAACGATGACAGTTAGTTCGGACTAGTATATGAGCTGGTAATATTTGTTGTACAGTGAGCCACCATTTCTTCGAAACAGGTTGCAACTGATTAATTTCCCCTAATAGTTATAGTTACCGGTTAAAGTAACTCGAGGTCACGTTTGGATGATTGATGTTGAATATACTTTATTCATTGCGTTGGTTTCTTAAAGTTGCCGTGTGTATACTTGAAGTGAGGCTCGACAGTAATTTGGACGATAGAAAAGTTCTATAGGAGTTCTGCAAAACGGGTACAGAGTTAAATTTCGTTGCAGTAAATAGCATGCGGATAATTGGAGTTATACTGTACCAAATTGGAGCTGGAAAAAAACATCAATTACTCGAATAACTCAAATAAGAGATGCTCAATTTTTTGATTGCCAAAAAACGACGGTAATGCAAATTTGCTTGTATAAAAATTATAGAATACTTTGTACTTTCATTAGTATAATCTGTGTATGAATCATTGAAATGTGGGGAACAAGGAATTACAAATTCAGACGTATATGCTTGAACACTGCATTTTATTTTATCATTTGTGTATGTAATTATTCTAATCAATTTTACTAAATGTATTCTTTTAGGGTATGGAAAAACAAGTATGATACTGACCAAAATTATTTAAACTTTAAACTGTGTGTATAATATACATATGTGACAGATTTCACATTATTCTACATCTGTCTTCCTCCAATCATACTTGATACCTTCATTAATATTAATATTAAATAATAATAGCATTAATAAAATAGTAGTAACTCAAATAAAAATGAATAGAAATGAATAAAACATTCAATGGTAATATCGCGTTCGTTCACTCAGTTAGACAGAAAGTAGGGGTGAGTCTGGGAAGCTTCTAAAATGTGGTTTTTCGTTTTTCAGACCGGCAACAGTTACAAATCGCCCGAGGAGTCGCCGCATTCGGAGCACACCAGATTGAGGTGAGTTCCAGCTTTTTACGGACGCACTTGCCGAAGTTTAATTACGTTTGACGACATCGCGGTTCAAAGAGAATCCGTCGAGAACGCGTGGGGAAATTTCACGTTAAACATCACCGGGCCCCGGGATCCTCAAATAATCCACGGTTAAGCGTTGCTTTCGAGCCGCGGTGAAGTCGGTACTCGCGACAAATTCTGGAGAAATTGTGAGGCTCGTGAATCTGTTTCTCGTGGCAATTACCTGGCCAACAATATGGGAAGGGAATCACCGTCGATCCGGGAAATCAGGCTTTGTCCCACGGAAAATTCGTTACATCGTTTCTCTTTCCGGAAAAGAATCTACGAGTATTCGTCCCCCGTGTTCGGCTCGCAACAACGGCTGTTCACGTTAAAAGCCAATGAATTTTAGAAAACGAAAGTCAGTTTCCGTTGTCCGGCCCGTAGAATGGAGAAGATTTAGCGGACCGGAATGTAAACTCGGATTTTTCGATTGTTTCGGTGATCCTTTTATTGATAGAACATTTTATTTTCCATTTGCTATGTGAAAAATTAAACAAGCATCGAGGAGGAACAAGTGAAGTTTATTTGTCGGTACTTCGACGTAGTCAAGAATTTTTCAATGCTTTTTTATTTGTATTCTGTCAGTGAAACATCGAGAGTACTAGATTTGTGAAAATATTAAATTGTATACTTGGTAGGGAAATGAACTTAACATATTACGTACGATACTTTAGTCAATAATATTCTACTGCCTCAAGAAGCAAACATATTATTATTTTTCTCTGTCTTCTGCCATGCATTTACTAGAGTTTTCACTTTACAAACTATGGCAGAGTCCGGTTCCCATAACAATGCACCTTCAAAAATGTGTTATGATTGAAATTTCAAGACCTGGAACTACTAGATATCGCTTCCTGTGTGGAACTGTTAAATTCCAGACTCAATAAACAAACCAAGGCAGACGACCAAGTTGCATGCTGCACATTGGTCGTTAACTTTCTAAGGATCTAAGAAAGAAATGATTCTTTTATTTAACTACCAAAAGAGAATACCTTTAATTTAGTCAATGTGCAATACAAATGTTTTTTTATCTTATTTCTATTCTCAATCAATGTATCGAGGAACGTTGATATTTCCCTTCTTGGTTTCAATATCGAAAGACAAGCAGAGGGAGTCGAGTTGGCCAATAAAGGTATAGAACGCGGCGGTGTCATTTAAAATGGTAGCTGAACCCGAGTGGTGTCCCATAAAAATGAGCGGATGGAAAAAATATCATCGCTTTCGCATTTCATGTGAATAGTGGAAGGATTTGGCTGGAGTAAGGAAATCTCATCCACTGTACGTTCAATATCGGTTCCAGCTGATGGCCGAGTATATTCTCGTCTCGTAACCGTGATATCCATTTCCAGGGCCGTTTTCAAAATACAGTACCAGCTCCACCATTTTGCAATATCGCTAGCCCGACACTGCTTTAAATCGACCCTCGAACTCCACGAATACTTAGTTCGGTCGGAGTCGCGGGAAACGAAACTTCCGAGTCAATCGATGGGCCTGTCATTTTTCGAAATTATTGGCTCGTGCGTAACATGGCCAGAGTACTGCATGAATCAGACTTCGGAAATACTGGATACCCGTCGTTGTGTGAAAATACTAAATTTCAAATTGGAAAAGTCCATAGTCCCGTAAATTAATTCTTCTCGCAAAGTGTCATTGCGTTCTAAAATTCTCTTTGTAATTTTTTAACAAATTTCAAATTAATCAGCTTCTTACAAATTAAGGCGACAGAATCTGGAAAAAGCCAGTTTATTGCGAGGAACGTGATAACGATGGAACGATTCTAATTTCTTTAATTCAAAAACATCGTATTGCTGACAAGACGTTTTTCCGTTTCTTCGGTATTTATTGACTAACGTGTTCAGGATCTATTTTGGCGACATTTCGACGAAATATTAAATACACTTGGTGGTTAACTTATGTATACATATATGCATATTCCAAAGCGACTGCAAATAGGAAAATCGTCCTTTTGCGCAGTTATAAGAGAAACTCCGTGTCGATAGCTCATCCAAAGAACGATCCCCCAAATTTTCCAACCGAGTTACCCGATTCCAATCCGCAAAGGTGTCCTTAAAACTCGACTCCCACGCGTCCCTATTCCCGGCGCCATTAGTTGGCCGATTGCAATACTTTTAATAGGGAATCGGTGGGGGAGCTTTCGTGTCTGTGGCGAATGTAACTGCGGCGAAAGGGCGAGCAGACGGGAACGATTATCTTTCATTACACCTGCGATTCCCAGGTGCAATGTGTTCCAATTAATCGCAACGAGGCGATTCAAGTCGGCGGGGTCATGCAGGGGACGTGGGCGAGACGGCGGGGTCAGGCGTGGCACGAGACGCCGGAAGTTAAACGGGGGACCGGGGAACGTAACGGGGGCCTCGATTCCGAGGGACTAAAAGTGAAACATGTGTGCCCTCACCCGCCTCTCTTCTGGCGAAACGCGTATAGAATTCCGGCGTCGAGTTTCGCCGACCGATAATAATATTTTTGGCATGGCTACGGCTCGTCACGTGCTGTCGCGTGTTACCTCGCCGCTTCCAAACACCGGGGTTAGAAAATTATTTCAACGCGCAACCCCCTGTACCAGCGAGCTGAAATTTCCACCCTCTCGTAAATAATACACGGCAAAATCTGTGTCGTGGTGCGATGATTTCGGTGAAAGTGTCGGGTAGGCGCTGGTGAATTGTTGGTTTAGATCGGTCCCGATGAGATTTTTAACTATTTTATTGAACCGGCTGGATTTCTGCGAGCGAAATATTGCTCCGTGGTTTTGTGAATGCTGACTATTACCGAAAGTCACTGTGTGGTAAATTAACGATGGAATCTTGCTTTAGAAAAGGTTTTTGTGTAATTTAATTTGGTTGAGCGTTTTAGGATGGATGGAAATGCATCGATCAGATTCAGGCGGCTTTTTGAAGTGTATTTAACGCGGTCACTACCGTGACGGTTACCGGTATTAGACAGTGAGTATTCCATTTACGTCTTGTCGGCTGTGGATCATCGTTATTTTGATATATAATAATCGTATTAGCGTGAACAGTATATCAGGTGAAATACGTCTTAGGGTAGATCTGTTAATGGAGAGTATTTCAAGTTTACATTAGACATTCAACGTCATTTGACTTTCGGCTTGACACACTGTCAGGTGTATTAATAAATAACCCACTATATTTATCTCTTTGGAAATCAAACAGCTGTGGTAAGCAGTAATTCTTGAGAAATATTCATCCTGGTTCACCATTATATTTAAAAAAAAAAGGTGAAGATATGAAATTGTGTTACGATTATATTGAAACTAAATGTTTGATTACTTATGGTTTGCACTTAATACTTAGCAAAAAGACGAGAGTCCGATGCATAACTCCATCATTCTACAGTTTTAAATAGTAAATAATGTATGAAAATAAAGTTCTAATGTTGCGCAACATCCATTAAAAATATCTGTCTTTTGTTCAATTATTACTTTAGAAAAAGAAATTTAGTTTTCCTATTCTTTTTAGGTCTACAAAATAGTATACCCCTTTAAAGTTTCACGGTTCACTATAATGCAGTGCATCATAATTTCCCAAAATTCGCACTTTCATATCAACAGTATAAATATACCAAAGATTTATTAGCGTCTAAAATACGTTATTATTAGAATCAGAGCCTCTAAAGCAAGCATCCACTCGAGGAACAACCACAACACGGATAACAATATTACTCTAAGAGCACTGTAATTGATACTGTTTGAAGCTTCATTATCTACCGCGTCACCTTAATCAGACGATAACCGTTAGTTGCAGCGCGAAACATCGCGACGATTCCCCCAAAGGAAGACATTCACAGCTCACGGAAACTCTATCGACCGCGAACTAACCATTTCACCCTTCTCTTTTTTCATTTTATCATCGCCGCGTTGCGAAAACCATGGTTCACTCGACGCGATACGAATGTAATTAATCCGCGGTATATATGGGACGGAGTTCTGTAAACATTAACGATTCGAAGGAAGACGTATCTGGTCGCCGGGGATAATGGTGACAGACGCGATATTTATTTGCGAGCGGCGGGAAAAATTATACGTCGGCCACCTCGTGGAAGAAGCGTTAAGAGAGAAAAAGCCGCGAGAGAAAGAATCGCGCAGTCCCCGTTACAATTTTTTCATTCGACCATTTATCACGCGGACGACGACGTAATAGACGGCGTAGCGAGACAACGGCGAGTCGTTGAACCGCGATGTTTTACCCCGTGCTTGATGCCCATTCGACCCTCACCCCTTCTCGAACTCGAATCTTTATTCGAACGATACGTTGCGCCTCGCTAACGACGATTTTTTCAGAAACGGATTTCGAGATGCACGAGTGAGCATGAAAATGTTGAAAGGAAATAATAGGGAAACAATACAATCTTTAGGCATAACAGTTGGATGTAATGTTTTGATGATTTTAATGGAGTTATATAAGACAATAGGATACAGATTCCTAATCATATTGTATATGTGAAATATTGGGTTTAGACGCTGGGTAATTTTAAAAATATAAATAATGTTATATACGAACCTACACGATGAATATAAGTCAAAGTTATGGAAGTTGCGTTGACAAAGTACAGTAAATTCTCGATAAATGCTCGGGATGATTTTTTGCCATTGTTTCTTCAGCTGATGGTTTGTTTCTCTCCATCACTACCAGTAAAGCAGAACTAAGGCCCTCTTACCATCAGCTAATCGTGTGATATTATAGAGATAGCAACACGATTATGAAAAGGTCGATAGAGCGCGATTTTAGAGGAGAGAGTACAGTACAGGTTTGAAGGAGAAACATCAAATACTGGTCGGACAACATTAAATACACGTAGATATCCGTTCATCAGATAAACCGCAAATTATATATTTTAGGACTGTGTTTATTCTATATGTTTCTAATGCATGTATCGTTAATTGGATATTTATTCAATGAAAATAA